TTTACTTTTTTTTTTTTACTTTAATCAGTCTAGGTAGACCGGTGTAATGTCTCTAGAAAATCAAGGTAGATAGCCGGGGTTTCCCCACTTATATTTCCTTTGAGCTCCAAAAACTCACCAGAGAGAAAAAAAAAAGGCCATCTTTCGCTCATGGCTGAATATAATAGACTGCATTTTGTTTTTGTTTACCTTGTTTCAAAAAATAAGAACGAGTTATTTGTCATTAATTGGCGTTTCAATGTTCTTCGCGTGCCATTCCGGGTCTCCGGATTTAAGCAACAAAAAATGTATCAGAGGAAGCCAATAAATGTCATTACGACAAATCCGGTTAAATAGACGGTTCGGTTCGCTTGTTTGCGGGGTATGTACAAAACAAGATTTTAACAAGTTTCGTATCTCCGGAACACGTAATAACAGATGATAGCAGAAAGATATTAGAATAGTGAAAATAGAGTAAAAATATGAATACAATTTTCCACAAAACGAATAAAAAATATCTAGGGATATAAAGATAATATTAAAATGTGAACCTAATATTATTATCTAGAGAGCAACAACGCATTGTACAGTTTTCCTGTTTATATATATATATATATATATATATATATATATATATATATATATATATATATATATATATATATATATATATATACACACACATATATACACATAAATATATATACACATATATATAAAATATATATATATATCCGCCGTGGTGTAGTAGCTAGACCTTCGCCTGCGGATCCGAAGGTAGTGGGTTCTAATCCGTATGAAGCCGGATTCTTTTCTCGAAACTTAACCTGGGTTCTGATGTTGACCAATTTATACATGGATACCAGTCAAAGCCCTGGAAAGTAAGGGCGGTCTACAAACATATGGGTCAAGGGTCACATGCTCGATATGCCACTTGCGTGTAAAGGGACCTTTCATGTACATAGTGTTGCGCAAAATCTGGACAAAGAACAAACAGTTAGAATCCATGGAGATATGCGCAAGAAAAGCTCGTATGCCACGGAAACGAAAACCGTGTAATTGAAAGGCGTAAATGAATGTTGAATTAAGATCCCTGTGCACGGAACATGCCTGTCTCCACCTTTTTGAACATGCTCTGTGAGTCACTTAAATTTACGACAGGTGTGTACAGCTGATTCTCAAGCCAGCAGTAACTGCCTCCACCTCCATTCTCTAACTAGAAGTTTTGGTATCAGTTTTGTTGCACTAAGCGACGTCCATTCGCTTTCGCTATGAATTCCCATGCATTTCGTAAAATACATAGGCTCTGGAAAAGCATGGAAGGAAACACTGACGACGAAAGTTAAAGGAGGTACTGAAATATTTAATTTAAATTTAAATACTCAAATATCATCATCATCGTCTTAGTCGTCGTCATCAGGATCATCATCATCATCTGGCAGTCTACTCTGTGCACTCGTGTCAATAAAATGGATATAACCCAGTCTAGCACCTTTGGCCTAAAGAAGCCAATTTTAGCATTTAAGTTTGAGTCAGACAGTGCCCATGTTTGGCCATTAGCTTCTGATCTACCAGTTTCTCTAGTAAATATTTCTACGGAGTGGTGATTTATTTGATTTGATTTGATTCAAGAACCGACATCACAGCACTCGGGGCATTCCCATAAGCGCGCCATCCCCATCTTCAGCAGCCAGCGAAGAGTTCCGATACTAGTGGTGCCAGTAGCATTCTGATTAAACGACCGTCTTGCCTTTCCTCTGAGCCTTGAGCTTCTGCCAGAATCTCTCGTCACCCCCAACTGCATCAATCTCACCAGACTGTGGCGATCCATCTGCTCCTCCGAATTGTACACGCTCTCCCACATGGCACTAACCACATCTGCCCTATCATGTATCAGTATTCCACCAAGTTGTGCAGAGCCAGCCAGTCTGTCCGCCTGTTTATTTCCCAACACACCGGCGTGACCCGGTGACAAAATCCAGATAATAACGGAGTGGTGAAGCTGGCACCATGCCCGACCCTCCCCTTTTCATCCAGGAATTAAAGGATGTGGCATATTGATAACAATCAGACTGGAAGGACACTCCGAAGTAGGGAAAGTTACATCGCAAGATGACGGGTCAGTCATGAGATAGTTGATTTATTGCTAATTAGTGTCTACGACACGCAAATAAGGTTACAGTGTATGAGGTTTTAAGGATTTGAACAACGGATCCACATGATGGAACACTGGTGAAGCCCAAAAGTGTACCGTCCTTTTTCTAACTGAAGTCTGAATCCAAAGAAGCTCAGCACACTGCACCGGCGAGGATCCTAAAATACTTTAAGTAGCGCCGTTAGTCTACTCTTTTCGATTTCCAACTGCCAAAGGATTTCTTTACGTGCGCAACAATGCGTCCGATCTCACTACCCAGAGATCAGGGAGAATTACTAGAAGTCCAAGTCCACGTGAAAAAATCCCTGACCCTACCAGGGATTGAACCCGAAACCTCTAATCTTCGAGGCAGACGCCATGCCTCCAACCACGCAGCCCCCTAGGTTACAGTGTATTCTTTGCATAGTGCAAGTCCTAGAAAGTATTTGTGCTAGGAATGTTTTCATTCAATCAGTCGGACTGCTATATTCTGTATGTGAAGGATACGAAGTGCGACAGGCTACATTCAACCTTAAAGTCTCAACGGACGGGTATATCTTCCACACAAGGCCATAGAGCAGCGGTTCTTAACTTGTGGGTCGCGACCTTTTTGTGTGTGTGTGGGTCAAACTACCTTTCACAGGGGTCGCTAAGACCACTGGGGAAAACATATTCATTAAAGTTAGGAAATAGTAACGACAATTATTTTATTTTTGGGGGTCGCCACAAAATGAGAAACTGAACTGAAGGGTCACGGCACCAGGAAGGTTCAGAGCCACTGCCTCAGAGGATAGCAAGGGACATAGGCTAAAAAGACGTAGCTCTAGCATAGCACAAGAAGAAGAAGAGTAGAAGATGAAGAAGAGTAGAAGAAGAAGAAGAGTAGAAGAAGAAGCAGAGTAGAAGAAGAAGAAAAACAAAAAAAAAAAAAAGAAAAGAAAGAAAAAGAAGAAGAGGAGAAGAAGAAGGAGAAAAGAAGAAGAAGAAGAAAAAGAGGAAAAAGAAGAGTAGAAGAAAAACAAGAAGAAGAAGAGGAGGAAGAAGAAGAGTAGAAGAAGAAGAAGAGGAAGAAGAAGAGGAGGAAGAAGAAGAGTAGAAGAGAAAGAAAAACAAGAAGAAGAATAGGAGAAGAAGCAGGAGGAGAAGCAGAAGAAGAAGAAGAAGAAGAAGAAGAAGAAGAAGAAGAAGAAGAAGAAGAAGAAGAAGAAGAAGAAGAAGAAGAAGAAGAGTAGAAGAAGAAGAAGAACAATAAGAAGAAAAAGAAGAAGAAAAAAGAAGAAGAGTAGAAGAAGAAGAAAAAGAAGAACAAGAAGAAGAAGAAGAAGAAAAAGAAGAAGATGAAGAGAAGAAGAAGAAGAAGAAGAAGAAGAAGAAGAAGAAGAAGAAGAAGAAGAAGAAGAAGAAGAAGAAGAAGAAGAAAAAGAAGAAGAAGAAGAAGAAGAAGAAGAAGAAGAAGAAGAAGAAGAAGAAGAAGAAGAAGAAGAAGAAGAAGAAGAAGAAGAAGAAGAAGAAGAAGAAGAAGAAGAAGAAGAAGGATAAGTAGAAGAAGAAAGAAGAAGAAGAAGAAGAAGAAGAAGAAGAGAAGAAGAAGAAGAAGAAGAAGAAGAAGAAGAAGAAGAAAAGAAGGAGAAGAAGAAGGATAAGTAGAAGAAGAAAGAAGAAGAAGAAGAAGAAGAAGAAGAAGAAGAAGAAGAAGAAGAAAAAGAAGGAGAAGAAGAAGAAGAAGAAAAGGTAATGGAGGAAGACAGAGAGAAAAGAAGAAAAAAGAAGAAGAAGGGGGAGGAAGAGAAAAACGGGGAGAAAAGAAAAAGTTGAACAACAACGGCTATACAAGAGGGGGATGGGAACCAAGAAGATAGTAACTATATTTGTGCATTACCTTTCCTGTGAAATTATATTAAACTGCTAACACTAATTATACTATTGGTGCTAGATACTATTATAACTAAGAACATTTTTGACCCGATAGCAAACTTTCAGCGAAACTCTAATAATCGCTGAAAGACAATTAAAACTGAAACTAATTTTTTACTCGGAACACGGGCAACTGTTGTTTATCTTACCTCACTCTCTGTTTTTCTAAACTATTCCATCGACCGCCTGTTGTTTCTCATAATTGTATAATGAAATTAAGATATTTCAGAACACTCGAATAGTTTTCGTGGCAAGGGAAAACCCTCCCTCCCCCACCCTCCTCCACAAAAATCTTTAGTAAAGAAAGCATAACCACCTTATAATTTTAGGAGATGTGGTCTCAATAGGCTCGTCTTGTTTAAGGACGCAGTAATAATACACGAAAAAGCGCTGAAATAGTTATATATCTGATATAATAGAAAATGTATAAACGAATAAGGGGGCGGTGGGGGGGGGGGAGTCTTGCAATATACTCAAGAGGGCACGGGGGTCTTGCCATATTTTCAAGGCTCAAGGGGGCACGGGGATCTTGCCATACAGGAAGGGGGGGGAGACCTGGAAAAAGTTGGAGACCATTGATTTATATAGACAGTAACCGCTGAACAAGGAAAAAAAATCATTCACAGTGAACCATGAAATAGGTTTTGGTTATATATATAGAAACTGATGACATATAGTGATGCATTTCATATAGAATGAGCTAAGAAAACAAACAATGTTGGCTGCATATAGATTAACTGACAAATGTATAGTGAAATATTTTATATTCGATCCCCCTCCATCCCCGCCTCTTGCAGAAAGTAAATGGTGCAGAATATGCATACGTGATGATGATGATAATGATTGGTATATTTTCTGTACAACGAGTACAGAATAAACAGTTTTGGTTGTGTAGATTGTAGACAGTGACTGACGAAAGTATAGTGATCTCACGAGAAGGTACCTAGCATCCATAGATGACTGTAATACTTACAGCTTCCGGTAAAGTGAAGTGGCCGAGCAACTGCGTCCAGCCTGTCGATGCTGAGGGCTACCAGCATGTAGGTGGAGGCATACATGACCAATACCTGTGAGGTAGAGATGGGACATTTGTCTTTATAAAACGATGAGCATATACAGAGTATTCTTCCTCTTCTTCCTTTCTTCTTTGACATCATCCTTTCTACCTGTTTTTCTTTCTTCCTCACATTCTTCTTTCTCTTCGTTTTTTTTCTTTTCCTCATTCTTCATTCCTTCTCTATTCCTGTCATACTTTCCTTATTTCCTCTGCCCCTTCCCTCCCTCCTTCTTTCTTACCATTATTCTTTTCTTCGCTTTTTAATAGCACCCAAAGTATATTATTAGAAAGTAGACAGGGGATACTGAGCCGGACGATTTAGGATCTTATTGCTAGTGCTGTCGCCATGAACTGTGCAGGTTAGGTTGTTTATTTTGGCCCCGAGAGAAAACCTCCATCGCCTCACCGGGGAGGTGGGGGGGGGGGAGGGGGAGGGGGGGGGGGGTGTTCGAATGTGATCTCCCGCACGAGAACACAGTGGTTCTGTAGTTGTGGTAAAAGTAACTGTAGGCGCTTTCTTTCCTGTTATCATTGTCACCTTGCTAAAGGTTAACGGGTAGAGATGAGCATATACCGAGTATTCTTTCTCTTCTTCCGTTCTTCTTTCCCCATCATCCTTCCTACATGTTTTTCTTTCTTTCTCGCATTTTTCTTTTCCCTCTTTTTTTTCCCTTTCCTCATCCTTCATTGCTTATCTCTTCCTCTCATACTTTTCTGATTCCTCCCTCCTTCTTTCTTACCATTTTTATTTTCTTCCCTTCTTAATGTCTTCCAAACTATGTTAGTAACATACTCCACAGAAATTCGCACAACGAACAAAACCTTTGTTTTGACTGTTTGTGGTTTTATTAGGCAATTTCACATTCATTAGTTTGCCATTGCCTTATGAGTCTGTCAAAGCCTATACCACTATCGGAGACACAGAGCGGTCTGCTGTCAAATCTCATGCAGCTGAACAGAACTTGCTTTAAATCTGACACTGCCCTCAATGTATACATGACATTAAACCAATTGGCTTCAAGAGTAATTAAGTAAATTGTACCCCACCAGACATCACACAGAGCGATAAACACCTGGTGACACAAATTGCCACCATGCGGAGAGAGGTCCTAGAAACCCGCGTTGAACGACGCTGATTTAGTATCAGCGTCAAGATAAGGAAACCCACAGTTGACTAGATTATAAAAGTAATTGGTGTCAAGACTAGAACTTTCATAGTTGTCTGGGTTACAAATTTAATACGTGTCTTGATTAGAAAATTATTAGGTGTTTATATTAGAAAATTAGTAAGTGTTTAGAAAATTATTAGGTGTTTAGATTAGAAAATTAGTAAGTGTTTAGAAAATTATTAGGTGTTTAGATTAGAAAATTAGTAAGTGTTTAGAAAATTATTAGGTGTTTAGATTAGAAAATTAATAGATTTTAAAAAATTTATAGGTATTTAAAATAAAAAGTTAATAAGTGTTTTGACTAGAAAATTGTTATATATTTAGATAAGAAAATTAACAGGCGTTTAGATTAAAAAATTATTAGGTGTTTAGAAGAGTGGATTACAAAATTGATATGTGTTTAGATCAGAAAATTAATGTGTTTAGATCAGAAAATTAATGTGTTTAGATCAGAAAATTAATGTGTTTAGATCAGAAAATTAATGTGTTTAGATCAGAAAATTAATGTGTTTAGATCAGAAAATTAATGTGTTTAGATCAGAAAATTAATGTGTTTAGATCAGAAAATTAATGTGTTTTTAGATCAGAAAATTAATGTGTTTAGATCAGAAAATTAATGTGTTTAGATCAGAAAATTAATGTGTTTAGATCAGAAAATTAATGTGTTTAGATCAGAAAATTAATGTGTTTAGATCAGAAAATTAATGTGTTTAGATCAGAAAATTATTAGGTGTTTAGATTAAAAAAAATTCTAGGTGTCTTGATTAGAAAAGTAGGTACATTACGCGATAAGCAGCCTACAATGAGAGTGACTTTCCTTCCCATTGATGCTTCGATCTTCTGTGGCGCTTAAACTATGTTGCAGGGGTTTTAGGCTGAGAACTGACATTGTAAAATTTGAGTAGCAGCGTGGAAGGGACAAACCGATCGATCGAAAGACCGCCTAAGCCACGCTAAATAACGTTAGCAACGAGTACAGTGTTCTGTGTCTTTTTGTTCTGGCTTTTGTTGCATGAAGAGTATTATATATAGCATAACCCTTTACCCATTAGGGTCGTGGAGGTGTATTGGTGGAAGCACTAGCACATAAACTCCCCCCCCCCCCCATGCGGAGTATTGGTTCCTTGTATCTCAGGTAGATGCACTCCAACTTCGAAAGATATACTTCTGATTAGTAGGCTTTTACATGCTTGATAAGGCACATTGGGCTTATTCTTCTCTACCCCCTTCCCCTTCTCTCCCACAATGGTACCCCGACACCCAAATGACGGAGTATAAAAGTTAAAGGTCAGAGTTCACTGCGCCAGCTGTTATTCGATATGGCAAACTGCTTGCCGGTAGCATGGCATAAATGATGAAATCCATAGCTCTAGCGACGACCCCCAAGGATCTCTTTAAAAACTATACTGGTAAACCGAACAACGCAACTGGACCACATGCAAGCTGGACTTAGTATCCTTGTCCAGGGGGTGGACATGGGGATGCAGCCTGGAGTAGCCAGATAGGAACGTTTCACCACGGGCACAAGGCGTCTGGTTATTCAACACAGAACGGGCGTGATCAGTCGTTTTACTGTTGTGGAACTACTGAGAACGAGCACGTATGGATCTGTCCTGAGCGAAGTGATGACAGTCCCCACTAATTACTAATCACGCAGCTCGGGAAACGAATCCACGACCTTCAGAGAGCGAAGCAGATGTCTTGACTACATCGCCACAGAGACCCCAACTTCAGAACTAATATAATAATTGTCTGTCTGTCCTATCTGAATTTATGAATGTCTGTCTTCTTGTCTGCTTGCCCAGCACACTTGTCTTTCATTACCTTTGCTGAAATAAAAGCTATGACAATTTTGACAGACAAACGTTAATGCTTTTATCTCCGGATTTCTGGCAAATTGTATAAATCCCAAGGGGAAGCGACTAGGGGGTGGACGTCTGTGTGCACTTTTATTTATGTCATCTGGGAAACCGTATAAAGTTGGCCCTTCGGTCAATATAGCGAATAGGCAGGTTTACTGTTTTTAATCTTGGCGTGTTCGTTGCCTTTGACGATAGCTAACCTTTACATTTCAATACATGTGTACCATCATCATGTAGCATGTCCTTTGCATCACGGTCTGCCTGAAAGAAACTTAGTCTCTCGCGGGCTTTTCCACCCCGCGTGCTTTCATATTCAAGGAGTCACTTATATCCTGTACCATTTATATATTGGTCGGCCCCTGCCCCTCTTTTCTGGTACTATGGCTTTCTGTTATTATTTTTCCAAATCCTCATGGCACTTGATATGACCAAAATATGTCAGCTCCTGAGCCAAGATGCTGTTTATTAGCCCCTCTTTCTTGATGTTCAGATGTTTTGTTACAGTCAGTATTTCTTCTCTTCTTTGTCCAGAGTTTTCTGAGAATCTTTCTACATCCTTTCAGTTCAAAAGCCCTGATTTTCTTTCTTAAGAATTCCATATGAATAAACTGCCAATTCCTGCCTTTATTATACCACTTTTGTGGTATAGACAGGGGGGTCTTTGATTTACGGCCGCATGGATAGTGCTGTCGCCACCACTGTGCAGGTGAGAATTGTATTTTGCCCCCCCCCCCCCCAAATCTTCAGCGTTACCGAGGATTCGAACCTGGGTTTCCCGTTTGAGAGCACAGCGTTCTAACCGTTTCGGCGGCAACCACTCCACTCCATAGGTATACTGAACGCATACAACTACTAGCTGAGGGCATTTCGCTAAGCTGCAAGCTGCGGATTTCATTTGGAATACTTTCAACTGTGTCCAGTGTAGTTTGTGCTGTGAAGGCAGATTTAGAAAATGGCAAAGTAGCCTGTTGCCAGAAAACTAGTTGGTGCCCTATGTGATTAATTGTGTGTGCAACCACCGATCTGCTGTAAGTGCTGCTTCCATCGAGAATGAACTGTATCTGTAGTATCTGATTTTTCACGCTGGAACTTCTAAAGATGCTTACTATTTTTAATTCTCCTTCAGTGCCAAAGAACTATCCAGACGTTTTTTCGGTAAGGAGGGGCAGGAGGCTGACCAACATGGCCACAGGAAAAAAATGACGCTCGGATATGAATTGTGCACGAAGGCGGGAGAGCTGGCGAGAGACCAAGTTTCCTTCAGGCAGATTGTGATGAGAAAGGACGTTCTGCGAAGGACCTGCTACCTGGTGATGATGATATATAGTACACATTTCGTTACTTTTCCTATCCCATTTTTCTGTTATGTGAACTTTTACTTTTCAGTGGTTTCTATGACTAATTGCGAGATCCCGTGGTGTGGCGGCTAGACGCTTTATGATCAAAAGTGACCTTGGCTCTCAGCTCAACACAGGCTCAAAAAGATATCAGATAAAGTCTTGGGAAGTAAATGTGACCGCTGTGATGTTGACCCCATCATCAACGAAGTGCCGATTGGTTTATAAAAAGTAGTTTTATGCTTAACACGCTTTAAGTCGTAGCAAAGGGGCCTTTACTTTTTACTACAACAAATTCTCTCCAAAATCTGTACTTAAAAGTTTTATGAGAAAAACAAACTCTTACTCCATGATAATGAGAATATTAACAATAATAATAATTATTATAATGATAATGATGATACTAATATAAAACATTTAGCACATTGACTTGAATTCACTGCTATAATGGACTGAGCGAGTCAATGCGAGTTTACGCTAGTAGACTGCTGAGACTACAGTCTTCACCCAACTGTTCCACAGAGGACGGTGATGAACTGTATGTGTGGTTTTCGACACTGCAGGACAGAACAACTATGAAGTGACCCGTCTGCTATGTAGTATAGAACTACGATTACCTGACTACCATTTTTAACGTTCAAAATTCACCTCTGCAAAATGTTGAAAGTTGAATTAAGAATCGACATCACAGCACTCGGAATACATCCATAAGCGCTCCGTCCCCATCTTAAACAGCAAGCGAATAGTTCCAAATTCGATGCTACAAGTAACTGTCTGATTGTATATCCGACTCACCTTTACCCCGAGTTTCAAACGTCTGTCAAATCTCTGTGTAACTCCTCGCAGCGCCATTCTCGTCAGATCATAGTAATATATCTGTGCCTGTTCAGTCGCTCCCAAAGGGCCCTCACAACATCCAGCGTGTCATACATCAATTCACCACCAAGTGGTGCAGAACCGGCCAATCTATCTGCCTGCTCATTTCGCAACACACCTTCATGACTTGGAGAAAATATCCAAAAGATGCAAACTACTTGGAACCTCTGAAGTGATGCTTGCCACTCTGCACGGGGCATGTCTGTGTCTACCTTTCTCAACATGCTCTGTAAGTAAGTTACAGTGACGGCATATGAGTACAGCTGATTCTAAAGCCAGCAAGAGGCAGCAGTGACTGCTTCCACCTCCATTCTCAAACTAGACGTTGTAATATCATATGCCAGGTTTTGTTGCACCAAGCGACGTCCAATCGCCTTCCCTATGAACCCTATACACTTCTTCTGCTTCTCACCACAGAGCCATCTGTATAGATAATCACATCACCTGGGCGGGAATTGTCATGAATCATTTGTTGAACTTCTGATTCTGCAGCACCAGCAGGCCATCCCTGTACTCACGTCCCAAAGTGATCAGAAAGAACCTCTACAAAAGAGGATTTTTACAGTAAGTAAAGGAAAGCACCCTTCCTACACTAGTGGCTTATCGAGCTTACGATGTTAAACTCCTGTTTCTATAGACCAGTCAGCACTCAACATCACCCCGCCCATCTTTACTTCCCAGGAAACTACCTAGAACCCGTTTTTAGCTGGGTCGACCTTGCAGCCAAGGTCAGTTTTTTAAATAAATCCTACTCGATGAAGATTCGAATCCTAGACCAATACGCCGCCAGGCGAGAGGCTTACCATTAGGTTACCACGGCTCTAGCTAAAGGCCCAATTTCTGCACCTTAAGGGGAACTGGACATATGCTGCTATTCCATATTTAGTCATTATTAGGCATTCAGTGGGTTATATCGTCAACAGCACAGTTAAAAAAAAAAAAATTCCAACGCCTTGAGGCGAACTGAGCAAATAATGCGAGACCTATTTTGTTATAGACTAATCAACATTAGGTGCGTGATGTGGCACACATTACGCCGGCCACCTTTATTCCCCAAGCGTCATCCTGGTACGCATTTAAGGCTATGCCGATCTGAATGTTAAGGCATAAAAAAAAAAAAAAAGTCCGGCTCCTTTCGGATTCGAAACCTCGACTTTCAGATCCGCATGCGAGCATTTGTTCGCTACACCATGCGACTCTCCAAAAGTCACAGTGGTCGTCTTTTACACTCCAACACTTTTTGCTGACAAATTCACCACAATGGCAACTTTATAGCCCGGGTTATCTAATAAAATACGCATAAGGTGGGAGACTGTTTATAATGTTTTAATTTTTTTTTATTGCTCAAATGCATTCATTTTCTTTTTTTGTCCTTTATCCCCAGATGGAGTTTAGGCCCTCAACCAGTTAGCTGCTTTGTTAGTCGACAGATTTTCATCTTGCCCATTGAGCCATTCCGTCCATAAATAAGTGTTTGGATCTTTTCAGCGGTAAATAACACATGTAACGCCTGTCGCAAGCAGTTTTGTGTTTGTTTCTTATTCTTCTATGGCCACTGCCATAACATTCACAGTCAACTTGTAGTCAAGGCAACAGCCATTCACAGTCAGACTACTTGTAGTCAAGGCAACAGCCATTCACAGTCAGACTACTTGTAGTCAAGGCAACAGCCATTCACAGTCAGACTACTTGTAGTCAAGGCAACAGCCATTCACAGTCAGTCTACTAGTAGTCAAGGCAACAGCCATTCACAGTCAGACTACTTGTATTCAAGGCAACAGCCATTCACAGTCAGACTACTGGTAGTCAAGGCAACAGCCATTCACAGTCAGACTACTTGTAGTCAAGGCAACAGCACCAGAATCCTGCTTTGAACATGAGACCCTTAAACACCTTAGACTCAGTCGGTCTGTCATTGCTGTTGCATTCAGCTCGCTCAATATTCCTATCCCCATCTTTTCAACGCAACCTTCTAGCTCCCTTCTTTGTTTTGTCTTTTTTGTATGCCTCTATTGTATATGTCCTTGTTGGTTCAGGTTAATGACTTTCTAGTCATTTTGCTCTCAGATTTTTTCAGTGTCCTATCTAACGCCAGCCTTTTTGCCACCTCTTAATTCAATGGAATTTGTTTTGTTGGCTCCCAGAGCTCATTAGTGATTCGATAGACCAGTTGGTCCTCTCTATTCTGTACAGTAACGAGTACACCGCACGAAACACTTCAGTTATTGAAACGTTAAAAAAAAAACACACACATATGTATATATGTACAGTATAGTAAATGCAAACACACAACACGAAATAACATCTGGGCAACACACCTGGGCAAACTTGTGTAGCTTACAAAAGACGACTCCAGCGTACCAGTAGACGGTGATCTTGGTGATTAGGTCCGACAGAACAATCAGTGGTCCATTCAGAAGGTCTGAGGAGTAGTGTAAACTTTGGAGTGAATCACATTTCCCTTATATATAATGAGGAGCGACGATATATGACATTACAATAATACGATCGCAGTTTGACGACTGCTCTTAAGCAAAAGGCTTTTCAGTCTGAATCACTCCACACGCGATGGTCATCGGAGCTAAAGTTAGGACTTTTGCCCCACTCTATGAACGTGATCATAATCTGTGATACTGACCATTTCATAGTTACTACAAGAGTTCGGATGAAACATCAAAAAAATGTTCACTTCAAAACTCAAATATATCGCCAGGTTAAATATTTTCAAAACTGAAGAGCTCCTGGAAAGGGTTCTGAGTTCCAACAACAGCTCGAAGATGTTTTCACTGATATCCAGGATAACTCTACTGCAAGCCTAAAATAAGATGCAATTAAGGAAAAAAGATGCATCAGTCTATGGGATTCGAGAACATAGAAGTAAAGACGTCTTTGAAGCAAATAGCCAGACACTCCAAACCTTAACTAACAGAAAAAAGTTAATACTCCTCAGAAACAATGAAAGAACAACAAGGAACACCCTCAGTGAATTGACAGAAGCTAGAAAATGGACTTTCTATTGAAATCATCATGAGTGGAAAAGACATTCCAACCGCACCCATAGTCCCAGTATAGCTTTCGTGGGAACCGATCTACTACTGATATGATATTTTCATTACGACAGTTGCAAGAAAAATGCCGTAAACAAAGCCAGTCATTGTATATTGCCTTAATTGATCTTACTAAAGCATTTGATTTGGTTAGTCGAAAAAATTATGTTCAACACACTGAAGAAGATTGGGTGTCCACCTACCCTACTGAGCATAACTGATTCGTTCCACACAAGTAAGTAAGATACAATAAACCTTTATGGTGTAATGTCGGAGAAGTTTTTAATCATCAACGGAGTGAAGCAAGTATGTGTCCTTGCTTCTACCCTCTTTGGAATATACTCACATTTTTTGGAACATGTCTTTCGAGATCAGGAAAGTGGTATCCATCATCGGTCTGACAGCCGCTTTTACAATGTTCATAGGCTAAAGACTAAAACCAGGATAAGGAAGGTACTTCTTCTTCTTCTTTCGTTCGCATGAAATAAATTGTCTATATCTGCAAAGCTGTCTCTAGTATGAATTTCACTGTCTTTTGTAATTCACTAAGCGGCCCGTAAAGTTTGACTTCCACAAGTGTCTCTTTTGGCCAAAGGTTTTGCCTGAAAGTGTTGAATCTAGGACAGTCTTGAAGGATGTGATTTGTTGTTTCAGTTGCCAGTCCACAAGTACACATGGCTGATTGGCCAATCTTAAATTTGTTGTACATGTGGGAGCGAAGTCGATTATGCCCTGTTCTAAGGCGAAGGATAATGACTTGCTCTGGTCTGTCCATAATATGGTAATCATCTTGTGCCAGTTTCGGTGGCATTCTGATTGATTTGATCATTCTCTTCTTCTGTTGATAAGAGAGGAAGGTACTTATCAGAGAGCTGCTGTTTGTAGATGATGCCGCAATAACCACCCACTCAGAGGAGGAGCTGCAATGTTTACTATCTGCCTTTGCTGATGCGTGCTGTGAATTTTGACTAACAGTCGGCAAAAAGAAGACAGAGATTATGATGCAAGTTGTTACTGATAGACCTGCTGTCTACAGTGATGGCAAAGAGCTATATATAGGTGACCTTTTTACTTCTTTGGGTTTAACAGGGAACAACAAACTATCGCTGGATCAATAAATCAATATCAGGATAGGTAAGGTCCGAGTTCATGCTCTGGGGTAGGCAGAAAAGCCACACATTTTTCCAGATTTACGGTATCTGTAATTAAATCAAGGCCAAAGTGTTGCGATATCCATAGTAACGAGCTAGAGGGTTTACAACTCCTGGTTTCTGCTTTCTTTCAGGCTTGTGTTCTCAGGAAACTTGGTTAACTTATGTGAAATAGCAGAGACGGCGAAACAGCTTTCACATGCGAAGCCTAAGAAGAATGCTTATCATTAAGTTGCAGGACAAGATAACAAACACTGAGGTATTGGAGAGAGCAGGTATTGCAAGAGTCTTCTCAATGCTCATTCTACGAAGGCTCAGGTGGCTGGGTCACACCTGGAGAATGGAGGATGGCAGAGTCCCTTAGCACATCCTTTCTGGTGAACTAAAGACGGGTAGACAATTTCCAGCCCGACCTCTGCTACGATATAAAGACGTGTGCAGGCAGCACATGAATGACACAGGTACTGAGGTGGACCTAAAGGAATAAAATAACATGGACCGTGTTGTGTGTAGAAGTCGCACGAGGAAGGGAATGAGAATGAAGGAAGCAATGATCGCAGAAAAGATGAGAGCTGAGCGTCTGAGAAGAAACAGACTAAACACAAATAGTGACAATAATGGTCCTGAAATACCATGCTAAAATTGCGGAAGACTTATCTTAACGCGAGCGGGTCTTGCTAGTCACACTTGCCATCTCCATGGGCTTTGTCGCATACCTCCTCACAGCGCAGTATAACACACTCGCCATCTCCATGGGCTGTGTCGCATGCCTCCTCACAGCGCAGTATAACACAATCGTCTGGAAAAAATACGGAAAGGTGCCAGTCAAAGTGCTAATCATTGAAGGTGATAGATTCGGTTACCGTTTCAGTTGTTCCCTCTGTTTTTGTGCATTACCGCTTCAGTTACGGAGATCTTTTTTTTCTCTCTCTCTCCACTCATGGTAATGCCGGGGTGCCGGGTTCGCTCCCAGCAGCGGGCCTTGCGCCTTGGGTTGGTTTCGACAGTGGTATCAAGAAAGCCGACCGTCCAGGAAGCAGAGGCAAACTACTGGACGTAAATTTGCCTAGAAAAACCACAAAACAGCCGGGAGCTGTTGGGGTTGGTTCTGCAACGTCCTGTAAAGGATAGGCAACTAACCTACTCATGGAGTGCATTGCAGTCTTTCAGAAAAACAAAAAAAAAAAGATTAATTCAATGATAAAAAAAAAAAAAAAAATAAGGATGGTCACAGCAATGCAAACGCTGAACAGCATTACAAATGTTTGGCTTAGCATAGGTTAAAAAAAAAAAAGGTAAAATTTGAGAGGATGCATCCTTCCTGCAAGAAACATACGGATGGATTTTCTCGCAATAAACGAGGAAGAAAATAGGAGCTTTTGAGATGCAATCTATAGAAAAAAAAAAAAAAAACTCTTTTTCACTACTTTGGAACAAGAATAAAAGAAATTTTGACATACGAAACAAATCTGAACGTCATGGAAAATTGGCATGTTGTCTCGGAAAGTGAAATACTTGGCCATATGAAGCGTCACAGTGAATTTGAAAGAATTCGGGGCCGTCCGGCACGAATTTTAGCACAGGACATAAACGACACATTGGGATGTCGACTGCAAGAGGGGGAAGAACTGGCGAGAGACCGAGTTTCTCTCGTCTTCCTGTGATAGAAGCGATGTTCTCTAAAGATCTGCTACATGATGATGGTATTAATGTCCATAAAAAGCCCCAGAAAACACAAAAGAAAACGTTTAGAGACACCCGGATGTCCTACACACAGCTGGGGAAAACTCATCCTTCAATTAACCAGTTTTTGCTTTCATTTAGCGTGTAAAATAAATAATGGAGGTAATGCTTCTCGGTATACGTTGCTTTAGAATCACTTATGATATTTGCAAGACGTTTAGAGAGAAGACATAATTCATAAAAGGACCACTTAGACTGGAATTTCTGAACATTTCTGAAATTGCTAAATGGACAAGTTTAATGATGGGATTTTGTCCAGGCTGGAGCGGGAGATGGTCTGCGCGGGAGATGGTCTGGCGCGGGAAGAAATAGAATGCGAATGAACAAACTGTGGGGGCTGGGGAAATGGAAGAGATGCTCCTGTTTGCTTAAACGCTGGCGTGCTAGCCTGAAAGTCTAGGGTTTAAATCCGCATCGAGACAGCTTTCTTTCAAAATCGGGCCTGGCTTCCAAAGTAATCCTAAAATGGGTTCTTGGTAATGTTCTGGGAGGTAAAGGTGGCGAGCCTGATTCTGACCACATCCTTCATCGAGAGCTGATTGGTCCACACAAATATAGGTCTAATATTATGTGCCCAAAATTACCCTGGCTATCAGCCTTAAATGGGTACCAGGTATAGTTCTGGGAAGCAAAGGCGACCGGTGTGAGATGTTGGCCCTATCTTCCATAGAGAGTCGATTGGTCTACCAAACATAAGTATAGTTCTATATGCACAATACAGCTGAAGATTTGGAAAAGGATCCCCGCAATCTTGTGCCCGATGGCTAGGAGGCCAGAATAGGAACCTTCGTCTAATCAATAGGAAGGTGTCAGTGCTTTTACCTAACTGTAAACTTAAACAGTAGCGAACAGTTCTTAGAATGTCCTGAAGTAATCAGAGGAGGGACACTAACGGAAAAGATCTTCTTCTGTACTCACGAGCTGAAGGACCAAGTCGAAAATCTAAATCTTCAGAACAGAAAGGAAACGGCTGACCACCATCATCATCATCCTAATCGTCATCCGCAGTAGCAGCGCATCATTGTCAGCATCATCACCATGATTACAAACACTTCAATATGTGCCTTGGAGATAAAAGCAGGCTTCATCTTTCTCCAACTCTTTACGGATAACCAAAATTACAGATCAGGTCAGTGTTCTCATCGGGCTTATCCATAGGGCTAAGCCATCCATGCATTGATCTCTTTGCTTTCTCTTGAAAATACATATCTCATTAAAAAAATACACACTGACCATTTTAAAAAACACACCCACGGAGACCTATCAGTCTTAAGTCGGAAATACAGAAAACTACAGAAAGCAGAAATTGTGGAAAGCGACTTCCAAGTAACCAACACCAGGGATGAAATAATGGTGATGAAATACTGCTATAACGAGTTTAACGCTGTCCTGTTTTACTGAGAGTTTGTCTATTTGCCGGAAACAGATTTGTTGTGCTGGATTAATCTGCAGCGTTTCTGTTTGTCAATTTTCGGTGGTAA